GCGACTCGGCCTGTCCCAATTCGAAGACTCCTTCAAATGCGGTCGACGAATGCGGCCTTCTTTTCGCCTGAATGAAGGATGGGTCCGGTGTATCCTTCAATAGGTAGCATTTCCCAAGATGCCTTGCGGGCCGGCCGGCAGAAAAACTTAAAAACAATGGCGGACAGTGAAGCGGGAGCTGTCGGAGAGGATTGCGCATATAAATGTCAGTATAAACTTGAAAACTGTTAGGTTAAGGACTTTTTGTGATACATGAACGTTATTTTAGTTAGAAATGTAACAGTAAAAGTGCTTGTATTGCGGTCTCGGCTCGTATTTTCGGCCGCTCGGTGTCGTACTTCTCCCGCTACGTTTCCCCCTGATTTTAATAGAAGTTTGTATTTTAGGGACAAGAGAAAACCAGGGAATTTATTAAGCTTAGGGCGGAGATGGACCACATGATCACCGGAGCAAAGTATTCGGCGGCTGTGGCATGGAGGTACAATAACATCTCATATTTTAAAAAACTTGTTTGAGTTTATTTTTTTCTGCGAAAACATGAAAGGAATAACCCGTTGTCCCCTTTTCTCTTCCTGTTTCTTTTCTTACATGTTTGTTAAGACTATTCTGGAGAAAATGGGCATCCAGGGGAAGGTGACAGCGATGACCAGCTTCTGGAGCTGATCTGGGAGGACTTGAGGCTGCAGAGGGAGGCAAAGCAGCAGAGGGCACAGGAGAGAAGGAAGAACTTTGACAGCTTTTTACTTTGCTAGAAAAAAATGGTTGAGGAAGATTAAACATGTACATATAAAAGAAATATCTAAATAAAATCAGTTCTGCATTAAACTCTTGAATTTTATTTTTGTTTACAAATGAGAATTGTTTACTAGAGGGTATCCGCTGGGTCTTGAAAAGTCTTAAAAGGCGATAAATCGGTTTTGGTCAAAGTAAGACCCTTAGAAAGTATTAAAAACTATTATCACATCTTTGCTCAGGCTCAGCTTGTCTAAAGTATTTTCTCTGAATTAGCTCTCCAACAGTCAAGGAAATGATTAACCCCCAGAGACCCACGGTTGTAATATTACAACATCAGATTTAAGTCTACAAAAATTAACCTTCCCCATATTTTTTTTCTTTTTAAAACCACATTTACATTGCTAATAGGTCCTATTGTTCAGTTCTGCAACACTATTGGCTGTTAAAATGTGTAAATAGGCCCGTTTATCTGGCCTAGAACATGTGAAAGGTTAAAAAAAGATTTTGCAGTTGTTTTCTAAATTTGGGTTTCTGGGGGTTAAAAAGCTAAATAAAACGTCGAGCTCCGTCGTTTAAAGTTCCTTCTCCCTTCTGCCCAGCGGTTCCACGGTTGCTAGGCAACGGAACGTTCGCCGAGGGAGTTCATGAAGGCTAGGCCTGTCCAAATTCACAGCCGTTAACATCCGGTCTACCCGGCCGACGGAGGACGCAGCCCACGTCGGCCGGGTGGGCTGGGTCCTTCGAAGGATGCAGACCCTGAATTGAGACACAGCCATTGTTATTGTCAGAAAACTCAGACAGGAAATATGGTAGATTCCTGTTGTGCCCCAGGATGCAGAACAGACACGGACGACATAAGGAATGAGCCATCTACAGGATTCCCCAAGATCCGGAGCGCCGCAAACATTGGATCATTGTAATAAAACGTGCTAGTGACCGGGCTGAAATGAAGCTGTGGGATCCCGAGAGTAAAGGTTTTCGCCTATGCAGCGACCGCTTCATATCAGGTACTTAAACCAACGTTTCCTCAACTGTGTATGGTGTTTATTTTAAATGCTTTTATTACGATTCTTAGTGGGCTTCCTAAACTTATTTTGGCATGGCTTTTTCTGTCTTATTACTCATAGTAACAAGTAAACATCACGTAAAACGTTGCCTCGTGAGTTCTGCGTGCTGCCGTTTACGTGTTTTATGATCACAGCAATTAACCGGCTAAGCTGTATTTAATTTTAAGCAATGGTTGATCAATTGTCAGATCACACATAAAAAGCACTTTGGATTGCTATTATCTGTCTCACCGAGACAGATCTCAGACAGATCCTGTGACGCTCCTGCCTGACATATTTATTTTATTCAAGGAAAACAATCAAACTAGTGATTTCTCTTGGCGTTCAGTTTATACATTCAAACAGCACAGCACTCTATTTAAACTACTTACGTGTAAATCTGTTATTTGTCCATCCATCCATCCATTTTCATCCGCTTATCCAGAGTCGGGTTACGGGGGCAGTAGCGTCGAGAGTCCCAGACTTCCCTCTCCCCAGTCGCCTGATCCAGCTCTTCCGGGTAAATCCCAAGGGGTTCCCCGGCCAGGTCCGGTAAGAAGTCAGCTACGACAGCTTCTGGCGTCGGAGCGGGCAGTAGCGTCGAGAGTCCCAGACTTCCCTCTCCCCAGCCACCTCCTCCTCCGGGGGAATCCCAAGGGGTTCCCCGGCTAGGTCCGGTAAGAAGTCCGCTCCGACAGCTTCTGGCGTTTTTAAAAAGTATCCCAGGGGCACGGTAAGGGTCGGAGATGTTTAGTCTATTTAATTTCTGACTATATAAAACGATTTCTTCGGTTTTAAAGTGAAGTAAACTCCGACGAAGTAAAATCCAAGCTGATCCCGTTCACGTTCATGGTTAAGATCCGTGTTTGTTTAGCTTCTTTTACCTGCCAATATCTGCCCTGATTGCAATGACAATATTGAGAAAACTAACAGTTTATCTCTTTTTATTCCACAATCCACATTGGTAGCAGTTGTCATAAATTATTTCAAAAATTGAGAACTGCTCTGGCGCTCTCCATCTGCCTCTGGTGCTCCCCTGCTTCCTGACTCCGTACCGGAGGCCGGTGACCCACCGCCGGTCTTCAACCCGGAAGTGTCTGTGGATCTTCCACTAGAGCTGTCACGGATTCGTCTGGGGCAGCAATAAAAATTATGGAAAAAATAAACGCATTAACGCTTCTGATTGCATTACACTGTATATGCATGGAGTGACTGGGAAATGCATTTTTAAACCGCTTGAAATATTTCAAATATTTTCGGTGACAGCCTTGTTTGTTTTGATTTTGTTAAAAAAGTAAAAAAATAAAAACGTTGGCATGATGAGCTCGATGATGCAATAAGTGCTGCAATTACTGAGGTCACTACAGCCTGTGGCAGCCGCAGGTACCGTGGCAGCAGTGGCAGGTGCCACTAAAAGCCGTGGCACCACCCGGAAGTGTCTTGGCAGCAGTGGCAGGGGGCGTGGCTAGTGCCACTAAAAGCCGTGGCACCACCCGGAAGTGTCTTGGCAGCAGTGGCATGGGCCGTGGCAGCTGTGGCAGCAGCGGCCATGGCAGCAGTGGCAGGTGCCACTAAAAGCCGTGGCACCACCCGAAAGTGTCAGAGCTGCCACTGCAAGTGCCACTCGTGCTGCCGCTGCCTCAAATCGCTCCTGCTGTCTCTCTACTATTCAGTGATCATAGACTGGTTATTATTAGTGTAAAGATAGAAATGGGACACTCAGTGTAAGAATAAAAGTGCATTTCCTTTTATCTCACAAAAGAGCAAAGCTATGGGTTACATTTTACTTTATTTTAAAATTACTGACCTATTAAATATCAAGAATGAGCCCTAATCATTTTTAGTTGTCAAAATGCAGCAGAAAGAAACATGTGTTTGTGATCAAACCAAAATAAAGTATTATTTTGTAGCAGCTTAGATGTTAATTGTGCCTTTTTGGGCTTTTATATAAAATCTGAGATGGGAGGAGTCATAGTAGTTATTGTGTCAGCAGCTCTCGCTTCCTACCTTTTTGGTTTAATGATGTAAGAGAAGAAGTGATGGCGAAACGCTGCCAAGTACAACCCAAGACTTGTGCAAACACCCTGATGCAGTCAGGAAACCAGAAAGCTTCCATGGATCATTCAGACTACTGGGATTTCTTGAGAACATAGAGTGAATTCTTTTCAGATAATGTTGAAAAGTTTGATTTAATTGTTCAGTAGTGAGAAACTCAAACAGCTAGTGTTCTCGGAGAACATCTTTGTCCTTTCAGTAAGCTTTCCGCCTTTAATATTAATCCTGCTCATAGAAACTAATTAACTCTATTGTCTGAAAGTCAGTCCATCCGTTTATCTAAACTTGGAGGTATCGGGTCCTTCTCATTGAATCACTCCAGCTCCTCCCTGGGGGGAGAAAAATCACTCCAATGTTTTTATTTTTAACCCTCTGGAGGCAGGCGTTGCAGATTTGCAACAGTTAAAACCATGGTTAAAACCTACCTACCTGGTTACTCCACATACGTATTTCATGATCAGAGTACCCCTGAAGGACTTAGTTGTTCATCCTTTTATCCTTTTAACCAAGGGTGCGAGTGCGTTAAGTGTCCCGGTTCTCAAGTTGACCATATCCCTTTTGCACCCTTGATCTGCGCTTCACCCAAGTCCGCATCGATCCAAACTTGGGTGAAGTTTATTACCCACAATCCATTGCTGAGGGAGAAAAGGCTCAAGTGCCTTTTAAATATGTATTTTGAAATTAAAATACTTCTTTTTAGGACGATTAGTTGATGCTCTGAATGTTTTAGACAAAGCAGCAATCATTGTAAATTTATTTAAAATAATTGATTGTTTGAAAATTGTTAATAAAGTTTTTTTTTTAAGTAGCACAGCAACCAGCATCCCAGCATGTGTTGCGGTTGCTTACACAATGCTCCCTGTCGCAATTCTGCAATTATTTGCTCACTTAACACCTTAATGCGTTTATTGGGATTGGACCTCAAGCTCTTTGTCCCCTAATTTCCTAACTTATCATGCAGCTGCTCTTGTTCACCAGAAGATGGCGCAGTGGGTCCAGCTTCAGATGTTGGACTCTAAGGCCCTGTCCACACGTAGCCGGGGATCTGCCAAAACGTAGATATTTTTCGACGTTTTGGCCTGTCATCCACACGAAAACGGAGTTTTTTCACACGAAAACGGATCTTTTTAAAAACTCCGGCCAAAGTGAAGATCTGCGTTTTCTCCGTTTTGGGTGCCTGCGTGTGGACAGACAAAACCGGAGTTTTAAGGTCCGCAGCGTCACTTTCCGCGACAAAAAATGCTGACATCACGTGTGCGACCTGTGTTTACACTAGCCGACAGCATGGATGCCCTCAGAGCTGCGCTCTCTTTATCAATTGTCCAAGCGCTTTTTGCTTGTTTGTTTTTGCAAGCGGAATTACTGCTCCTTGCGGAAGACCACAGACGAAGGACGAGGTTAAGAACGGGGGAAGTACTGCCGCCTACAGGTCTGGCATGTCCTTAACAACGTATTTATCCAGGTACGTGTGGACAGAGTTTTGTTTTAAAACGCGGTGGTGTGGATGCAAGTTTTTGGAGGGGCGGATATTCGTTTTCAAAAAACCCGGCTACGTGTGGACTAGGCCTAAGTACCTGGAGCAGGTGGACCAGCTGTACGACGACTCCTTCCCCATGGACATCCGACAATATCTGAGCAGGTGGATTGAGAGCATTGACTGGTAAGAAGTCCAACCCTAGAAGGAAAATCACTGTCCGGGTAGAAAACTAATTAAGGGGCTGCTGCGTCCCTGCAAATCATGTTGTCCCGTTTGGTCAGCTGCTTCTGAGAGTGATATGGATGAAGCGTAAGTCAGTGTTTCCCCTAGAATTGTTCCCAGTCATGTTGCCGGGGTTCTGCTCGCAAAATGCTACAATGCTGCATCTCCTGTGGGGGGTGTCTCGCAGATGTGGTGCTAGAATTTCAGCCGTGGCGCAGCTCCACTCCTGCGCCTATGCAGGAGAAACTCTGTAAGTTCAGTGGAGACCATGTCTTTGCTTTAACTGCTCCTGAATTATGGAACCACCTTCCCTTGGACATCAGGCAGTCCTCTTCACTGTCTGTTTTTAAACCCAGACCTCAACCCCATCTTGTTTAACCCTAACCCTACAAAAGGCTTTAGCTTTAAATTGTTTTTCATTTTTTATTATTAAACTTTTCATTTTTATCTTGACTGATTGCATAATTATTTTTCCTTACTTGTAGGTCTTTTTGCTTTAACTATTTTTATTACGTAGCCTGTTTTGTTATTTTTCTACACATCACTTTGGTGCTGTAGGTGTTTAAAATGTTTTATAAATAAAGCTTTTATGAACGGTGCCCTTCAACATCTGGCGTAACCGTGGTGGGACCTCTGTAAGATAACTCAGTTGTTGTTTTGGATCTTCTTAGGGATACGGTGGCATCACAGGACTACCTGGCTACTGTTCGGTTTCACGAGCTCCTGGCTCAGCTGGATGATCAGCACAGCCGCTTTGCTCTGGAGAACAACTTCCTGCAGCAGCACAACTTCCGTAAGATCAAGAGGAACCTGCAGGTCAGAACCCCACGTTCTCTACTCGTGTCAGAGTGAGTTAAACCTAAGAAAGTGACTGCGTAAACATGGTGCGCTTGTTTCTCCAGGATCGGTTTCAGGAGGACACCCTCCATATGGCCATGATCATCTCCAGAAACTTGAAAGAGGAGCAGAAGATCTTGGCCAATGCAAAGGATTCTGTGGTAAGACCTGCAGCTAGACTCCACTTTAATCTATCTAGATTTTATTTAAAGATGCTTTAATCATGAATTTGACAATGCTTCTGCAGCAGGAGAAGGAGGGGACGGTTTCAGCCATGGTGGTGGAGAAGCAGAAGCTGGACAACAAAGTGAAGGAGATGAGAAACATTGTTCAGGTGAAACAAACACGCTTCAGCCACATTTAAATAATCTCTGCTGTTCCTTTACCACAGCTAAAGGAGAGTTTCCTTTGTTCAGATTATCGACCAGAACCTGAAGAATCTGGAGGACCAGCAGGATGAATACGATTTCCAATTCAACACACTGAAGAACAGAGGTAGGAAAGTGCAGATGACCCAGAAGAACAAGGAAACTTAGACTGAAGTGGCTTGTTCTGATGTTTGAGTGAAGCTGATGTCTGGTTATATCCATCACCTGCAGAGAACGACGTGAACGGCATGACGCCAAAGGAGCTGGAGGCAGAGAAGTTAGTCATCATGAAGATGTGCCTTGAACTGAAAGCCAAACGCCACGTGAGATTCTTAATCCACAGTTTTATGATAGTAGAAAGCTGAGTCCAAACCTTCTAAAACTCTGTGCCTTCTTGCATGTGTCCCAGGATGCCGTGGTGTACCTGAATGAACTACTGAATGTCATCCAGGGGTTGATAACCGACCTGATCTCCGAGGAGCTGCCAGAGTGGAAACAGCTGCAGCAGATAGCGTGCATTGGCGGTCCGCCCAATGCTTGCGTGGACCAGCTGCAGGACTGGTGAGACCGTTGTTGTCCCACAAGCTTTAGATAAACTTTATTTTCTTCTGTTGAGTTACCAAGAAATCTGAGACATCAGGAGAAGGCATCAAGCTGGAGTTCACATCTGACAGACATCTGGATCTAGAAGTATCAGAACAATACACAAGGTTGGAGATTATGGTAGTTTTTGGATCTAATGGAACCTGAATTTTCCCCCAAATCCCTAAAATTAGCGTTAATATCAATCCAAGTCAATTAAGATTAAGGGTTTAAATGAAGGTGATGAGACCAGAGGGGCTTGGTGTGGTCCTGATACAGGGTCTTAAAAAGTCGTAAAAGTCTTGAATTTGATGAAAGGAAAATTAAGACCCTTAAAAGTCTTAAATCGATTTAGTAAAGTCTTAAATTTGGTTCGTATTGACGTGATTTTAAAATACGTTTGTCTCATACTTGCAAACTTGACGCTTTTCAGCGAAAATTGCCGTTTATGAAACCAAATGCTTTCACATGAATCAAAGAGTTTTTGTTTTAGGGAAGGTGAGTCTTTGGTCGGATTTCAGTCGCTCTTTATAAGAATCAGTTTCAGAAAAATGAGGAGTGTTCATCCTCTTCACAAACCATCTTTGTTAGTGGGTCACGAGTTGCCATTTGACCAATCACAGTCACGAAGACAGCTAGGGAAAAACGCTGTGGTAGCCGATATCACGGCACCGCTACTACTGTCGCCTCAACATCTGGCAGCGGTTGGAACTTAAAGTTCGTAAAATCGTCAAAATCCCCTCCAGATACGTCAGTTTTCTGTCCAGAACTTTAGCAGGTTTGTCTCCTTTCAGTTTCAGCCTTAACTGATGTTTCCCGAGGCTTGTGCTCTTTTTTTTTGGAGGGGGCGGGAAGTTGAGTTCAATCAAGTGTTGGTCAAAAACAGCTTTCCCAGTAATTAGACAGGTTCATCCTTACCTAAAGAAGATTCTGGCAGACAAGGTGCTGCGGTTGTTGTTTCAGGTGCATGCAGGCTAAACCCTATAGGCACGTCTTCTCTACATGTTATATAAGAGATTTGAAATCAAGAAGAAGAAAAACTTGCAAAACAATATGGATCTGTTCTCAGTGAGATGTTATTAGTGGAAAATAAACATAAATACGTCTAAAGACGTTACTGGTACTTTTACTATCATTCTGTTGTGGAAAGTCAGCACAAATATTCAGTGAAAACTTTAAAATGCTGCTTAAACCTTCATTATGTTATAGTGGGCCTGTCTATATTTATAAAACCAGTTGATTGTTTAAAGTAACTGTAACTAAAGTTACTCAGAGCCACAGTAGAAGGTCCAGCCTAAGTCACGCCGGGGACACACCGGCCGCCGAAGCGCCGGGAGGCGAAGTGCTCACGAAATTTGGCCGCTGCTCGCTGCTCCTCAGTTCCGACCAGACGCTTGTTTCTCCGCTCCGGTCGAGGCGCGCCTCGTAGTTTTTCTTTTAATCACTTGGTGTCCTCCATTTCCTCTCCGCCTTTTCTCTGCTCTTTTCCTCTACACCCCCTCCCCCTTGCTGTGTGTGTGTGTGTGTGTGTGTGTGTGTGTGTGTGTGTGTGTGTGTGTGTGTGTGTGTGTGTGTGTGTGTGTGTGTGTGTGTGTGTGTGTGTGTGTGTGTGTGTGTGAACCTATGGTGTGAACCAGTTGTTAATAGCTGGCCTACGACTTTCTGCCTCTCTGTCCTGTTTGCTCCGGTTGAAAGACACCCAAAACCACACCCCCTTCACGTGGTCACACACACACACACAAGTTCGCTGTGTGTGTGTGGTTTTTATGCAGCGTCTGTTTACAAACACATTTGACTATCGCGTAATTTTATTTTGAAATGCTTACTTTGTTAAATTTACCGGCCTGCCTCTTATGTCTAGGTTTCACTTCCTGCCAGAATTCACGCGGTTCACCCACGGCTCGCAAAAAAAATAGAGCAGACGCCGAAACGATCGCTGCACGGCACGGGCTGGAGCGCCGGCGCGCAGCGCTTCGATTCGGCGGCCCATGTGATCTATACAATAGGATAACAAGGGCGCTGAATGAAGGCGGTCCCAATTTCGCGGCGCTTCAGCGGCCGGTGTGTCCCCGGCGTTAAGCTGTGGTAACTGGAGAGGAACCGAGAAACAGTATTAAACCTTGCTGTTTGCTTTTTCCCGTTTAATTCAAATAGAACATATAAGACATCAATTATATAATAATTGTATGTATATTTAACATTCATGTTATAGGTGAAAGGCAGAATAGATTAAAGAAAAAAACTTTATCTGGTTACATTGAAGCTTCACGTCCCACAGTGAGTAGTCTCTGTCTCACATGTGGTGAGTTGGGATCTGGTCATCCTACTTAAGAATGATTACAGTAATTTGGAATATTTTCAAATGTTTTTATGTTTGGTGTTTTGTGAATTAGTTTCATAATAATAGTTAGTTATTATATGATGATCCCTAATCATTATCTGATTTGTTATTTCATTTTATTAAATTTAGCTCTCTTGAACAGTAGGACTGGTAGAAAATAGCTTGCATTTTGCAAAAACGTCACATTAAAAAATATATTTTTTTAATGTTCTCAATAAAATAAAAGTATATAAATGTCAGAGGTCACTACAAAACCCACTGTAGAATAGATGCACATCTGCAGCACGTGAGGACATTGTTTGGGGGGAGTTATTTTAGTTGTCACATTTTTCACATCCTCGGAGTTCGTGGCTATGAAAAATAGATGCATGTAAACTAAAAAAATATATCTTTTGTTCTTCTATGCACGCGGTTTGCATTTTTGTACCACGTGGCTTTACATATTATTGCTACAGCCTCGCTGTCCCGGATGTGACGTAACCAAGCCCCCACAATGCGGCTCTAAAACTGGTCCCAACCCGGAAGAAAGAGAAATTGCAGTTCCACCCTCATCCGCTGGGGGCTGGTACCAAAAGCGAGCAAATCCTCGTTGACTCCCATGATAAAAATGCCAATTTCACAGCAGAAATAAACATGTTTACAGCCTGGTACCAAAACATGTTTTTTTGTCTAAATTATCTAGTTTATACTCATGACACCTCTGAGGGGGGTGAATTTTTTTCTCACTCTTCTGTTTAAGTGCATTGAAAGCCTAAAATTCTGTATAATTAATGAGCATCCGACACACGTGACCGCCGCCTCAGACCCACGTGACCACAGAGCTAGCTCCGTGGAAAGGCCTCAGTACAGCCTCAGTGTCTCCTGGAAACTGTTTCGGGATTTTGAGTCTCTGTGCTTGTGAATTCTGTTTTGGATATGTTTGGTGCAATTGTTGGACAAAATGACTTGCTGTGGTATTAATTGCACTAATAGAGCGTCCAAGGAGTCTCCACTTCATTTTTTTCGGTAAGTTAAAATCTATATTTGTATTTTATGTCACTGCCGCCTTTAAACTAGCTGAGTTTACCGAAGTAGCTAGCTAACTATCAGTTTAACATGTAGCATGTACTGTTTAACCATGAAATTTAAATGTAAAATACGGTAAAATAATTAATAGGGCATATTTCGATGGGTAAAAGGGTAAAACCCAGTGCATTTAAGATAAAAATGGGTTGAAATATGACGGAGCGCTTGGGAGGGACACTTCTGTGTTCCATTGTTCCATCCGGTACTCCGCAGCGGTCAGGCCGGGCAGCCTGACCGATGCGGCGGCTAGCTTTTGCGCGGGCTGACCGCTCGTGTAGTTCTCGGACTCGGAGACAGATCTGACCGTGGGGGAAACCTGAGTACCCGGAGGAAAACCACGCATGCATGGGGAGAACACGCAACTCCACGCAGAAAGGTCGCAGCCGAGTTTCAAACCTGCAACTTTCATGCTGTGAGGCAACAGTGCTAACAACTGTGTCACCATGCAGCCATTGATGCCCGAATGTTGTTCCTGACATCAGACACTGGTCCTCCATGTAGGTATCCACCATATAGATCAGGAGAGGGGCAGTTTCAGGAGTTCTGGTCTGCTTCTGGTCCAGCTGCTTCTTTAGGTGTTGCTATGATCGTCCATTAAGAGGTCTGTTTATAGGTTCATCATTCATTTTTGTCGGACGTTCCCTAATCCCAGCCTCTAATCCCATTCCAGCAGCTGTTTTCCTGGTTGAGACTGCAGGTGTTCTGTGGCAGTGAGTGAATCCTCACATTAAGGTTAAATCATCCAGACTGGAGGCTCAGAGCATGTAAACACAAGGTGTTTCCACAGGGATGCTATAGATTTGTTAAGGGTTAACGTTCCTTAATCCCTTCAAAGGCTTTGTCACAATTTAGACAGCCTCTCCAAAGTGTTGGGAAGGGAACGCCGTGATGTTTCCTTCACTCGGAGTCATATAGACAGCATGATGGTTTGTGTGATCCGCGCGGTTTCACTTACACCCCTTTAATGATCAGGCTGTTTTTATTATTTTTATCAGCTGATAGCAGTTAAAATTATGGTAAAAAAAACTTTTATCTGTTTTTGATAACTTAATGCATCTTCTCTAGACATTAAATATAACCCAAATGTTTTATTATGAGCAGATCTGATGAAGGTGTAGACAAGAAGTCTGCAAAGTAAAACTTGTTTAGAGTCCAAACTCTTACTAAAGCTTTTGAAAAGAAAAAATGGTTGAATTTTGAGAAATATCCACAGCAGGGGAGCGAGACCTCTGAAAAATGTATATTTTCTCTGAACTCATAGAATAATGTGAGGATTCTGGGAAAAGTTGGGATTCTGAGATTAAAACGTAAATCTATCTAATCATAATTCTGGCAGTTTTTGTGTCCTGCTGTGGAAAGTCGTGCAACATGAAGATACTGAGAAGATGCTTAAAACCTGTATTTTTATTCCATCCATAAATAAAATCATGAGCTATTTTTTTAATCCAAATTTGATCCAAAGGGCCATCGTTGGTTCCAGACCCGTTCTAGAACATTCCTCTAATCTTAAAGTCATCATCAGTTTCTTCCTTTTAACAAATATTTATTTGTTAAAATATTTAATATTTATAACTGGAATATTTGTTCCTCCCTCTCACACTGCAGTTAGTCCTGTCCTGCAACACTGTTTTTGCAGCTTAGTGAAGCCAACCATGTCAGACTCGAAGACTGGTTTCGGGAGTACGAGCTTTATTAGAGACTGCTGGCTGCAAGCGGTGCTGGAAAGGCTGGCGGAAGGATGAGGTCTGAGTTAGACAGGTGGAGGTTAAGCTGTATTAGCTTCTGAATACTCTGATCATGGAACACGGTGGAACGATGACTGAGTGAAGAGCCGGTGTGGCGTCTTCCATATATACAGTGGGGCAAAAAAGTATTTAGTCAGCCACCGATTGTGCAAGTTCTCCCACTTGAAATGATGACAGAGGTCAGTAATTTACATCATAGGTACACTTCAACTGTGAGAGACAGAATGTGAAAAAAAATCCATGAATTCACATGGCAGGATTTTTAAAGAATTTATTTGTAAATCAGGGTGGAAAATAAGTATTTGGTCAATAACAAAAATTCAACTCAATACTTTGTAACATAACCTTTGTTGGCAATAACAGAGGTCGAACGATTACTATAGGTCTTTAACAGGTTTGCACACACAGTAGCTGGTATTTTGGCCCATTCCTCCATGCAGATTTTCTCGAGAGCAGTGATGTTTTGGGGCTGTCGCCGAGCAACACGGACTTTCATCTCCCCCCACAGATTTTCTATGGGGTTGAGGTCTGGCGACTGGCTAGGCCACTCCAGGACTTTCAAATGCTTCTTACGGAGCCACTCCTTTGTTGCCCGGGCGGTGTGTTTGGGATCATTGTCGTGTTGGAAGACCCAGCCACGTTTCATCTTCAAAGCTCTCACTGATGGAAGGAGGTTTTGGCTCAGAATCTCACGATACATGGCCCCATTCATTCTGTCCTTAACACGGATCAGTCGTCCTGTCCCCTTAGCAGAAAAACAGCCCCAAAGCATGATGTTCCCACCCCCATGCTTCACAGTAGGTATGGTGTTCTTAGGATGCAACTCAGTATTCTGCTTCCTCCAAACACGACGAGTTGAGTTTATACCAAAAAGTTCTACTTTGGTTTCATCTGACCACATGACATTCTCCCAATCCTCTGCTGTATCATCCATGTGCTCTCTGGCAAACTTCAGACGGGCCTGGATATGCACTGGCTTCAGCAGCGGAACACGTCTGGCACTGCAGGATTTGATTCCCTGCCGTTGTAGTGTGTTACTGATGGTGACCTTTGTTACTGTGGTCCCAGCTCTCTGCAGGTCATTCACCAGGTCCCCCCGTGTGGTTCTGGGATTCTTGCTCACCATTCTCATGATCATTTTGACCCCACGGGATGAGATCTTGCGTGGAGCCCCAGATCGAGGGAGATTATCAGTGGTCTTGTATGTCTTCCATTTTCTGGTAATTGCTCCCACAGTTGATTTTTTCACACCAAGCTGCTTGCCTATTGTAGATTCACTCTTCCCAGTCTGGTGCAGGTCTACAATTCTTTTCCTGGTGTCCTTCGAAAGCTCTTTCGTCTTGGCCATAGTGGAGTTTGGAGTCTGACTGTTTGAGACTGTGGACAGGTGTCTTTTATAGAGATAATGAGTTCAAACAGGTCCCATTAATACAAGTAACGAGTGAAGGACAGAAAAGCTTCTTAAAGAAGACGTTACATGTCTGTGAGAGCCAGAGATTTTCCTTGTTTGAAGTGACCAAATACTTATTTTCCACCCTGATTTACAAATAAATTCTTTAAAAATCCTGCCATATGAATTCATGGATTTTTTTTCACATTCTGTCTCTCACAGTTGGTGTACCTATGATGTAAATTACTGACCTCTGTCATCATTTCAAGTGGGAGAACTTGCACAATCGGTGGCTGACTAAATACTTTTTTGCCCCACTGTAGACATGGATGGCGCAGGTGCAACGTGGAGGGAATCCCCGCGAGGGGCATGCTGGGTAATGTGGTCCGAGACAGAAGCTGGTCAGCTGGGAGAGCCCGGCCTGGGGGCTTGGACTCTGACAGGACCCCCCGGTCCAGGGACGGCTCCCGTAGTCCCCGGGCCACCTCGGTGGGCCCAGAAGTCCGAGATGAGGGCAGGGTCCAAGATGGAGCGAGCCAGCTCCCAGGAGCATTCCTCGGGGCCGTAGTCCGCCCAATCCACAAGGTACTGCCAACCCCGACCCCGGCGGCGAGCGTCCAGAATGCGCCGGACGGTGTAGATGGGCTCACCGTCGAGGAAGCGGGCCGGCGGAGGCGCTGGAGCCCGAGGCGGCAGGAGTGAGGATTCCACATAAGGCTTGAGCCGGGAGGTGTGGTAGGTGGGATGGACGCGAAGGCTTGTAGGCAGCCGCAGCCGTTACGTGTCCGGGTTGATGACCTTCTGCACGGGGTAGGGTCCGAGGAACCGGGGAGCAAGCTTCCTGGAACCGGCACGGACCCGGAGGACTGCCGTGGACACCCAGACCCTGTCCCCTGGAGCATAGGAGGGACCCGGGCGGTGCCGGCGGAGGTGTTGGTGGGAGTAACGGGCGTTGGCCCGGGTGATTGAGGCCCGCGCCTTGATCCATGCGTTCTTGCAGCGCCTCACCAGGGATTGAGCGGCCGGCACCGCGACTTTGGGTTCCTGGTGGGCAAAGACCGGAGGCTGGTAGCCATAGCAGACCTCAAAAGGGGACATCTGAGTGGCCGTGGAGGTGTGGAGGTTATGAGACAGCTCCGCCCAGAGGAGGTACTTAGGCCACTGCGAGGGCTGGGCCGAGACAAAGCAGCGGAGGTACCGGCCCAACTGTTGGTTTGCCCGCTCCGTTTGACCGTTGGTCTGTGGGTGGTAGCCCGAAGACAGGCTGACAGAAGCTCCCACTAGATGGCAGAAGGCTTTCCAGAAACGGGCCGTGAACTGGGGACCACGATCCGAGACCACGTCAACCGGGAACCCGTGGAGACGCACCACGTTCTCCAGAAACAGTTCTGCAGTGCGTCTGGCCGAGGGGAGGCCCGGGAGGGCGATGAAGTGAACAGCCTTGGAAAACCGGTCAGTGACAGTCAGGATGGTGTCGAGGTTGTTGACTGGCTGGAGACCCGTGACAAAGTCCAGCCCCACATGGGACCAGGGGCGGCTGGGCACCGGAAGAGGTCTGAGAGTGCCAACCGGAGCCTGGGTGGATGCCTTAGAGCGGGCGCAGACGTCACAGGCGCTCGTGAATTCCTTAACGTCCCTCTACATACGTGGCCACCATAGAGCCCGTTTAAGGAACCTGAGAGTCCGAGAGAAGCCTGCGTGACCTGGGGACGACGAGGGTCGGATGAAACCCTGCCGGAGGGCCTGGTCGATATAGTCCTCCATAGCTCTGGACTCGGCGGGGGAGAGAGAAAAAAAGGCGCCCCCAGGTTGGACTGGTGCCTGGCTGGAGCTTGATCTCCATGTCTTATGGACGATGAGGTGGCAATGCGGTGGCTCGCTGCTTATCGAACACCGCGGCCAGATCCTGATAGGGCGGTGGCAGATTGGGTGGCGCCGAACCGGAGCCACCTTCCGGGCAGTCAGGTCGAGGTGGAGGAGGAGAGAGGTGGGTCCGGCACTGGACCCCCCATTCCAGAAGGCAAGCTTGGGACCAGGAGATCCGTGGCTTCTGGAGGCGGAGCCAGGGAAACCCCAGGATTAGAGGAGAGGAGGGAGCACAGATAATCAGGAAATGGAGGTTCTCCCGGTGCCCCTGGACATTCATCTGGAGAGACTGTGTTCGGTTTTGGACAGGGTAAGGCTGGAGGGGCCTGCTGTCCACCGTGGTCACTGGTACAACCCTCTCCAAGGGGGTAGTGGGGATCCGTAGCCGTTCAGCCAGATCCACATCCATAAAATTGTCAGCGGCCCCCGAGTCCACCAGCGCGTGCATCTGGAGCGAGGTCTCGCCATATTGGAGGGTGACGTGCAGAAGGAGCCGATTGGAAAGAGCAGGGGCTGGAGGTGACCCAGGCTGAGCGACCCCGAGACTCAGTGGGTTCCTTCGTTGCCCGAACGGAGGGGGCAGTTCATGCGTCTGTGGTCGGGGGAACCACAATAGGCGCAGAGGCCCTCGCGCCACCGTCGCTGTCTCTCCTCCCGAGGAAGGTGGCCCAGATGCATGGGCTCCTCAGTGGCAACGGGTCCGGGAGCAGGCGTGGGGGGATGAGGAAAAAGTCCAGGCGCCCTGGATGGGCAAATGAGAGGCTTGGGCCGAACCAAAACCCGCTGATCCATGCGCAACGCCAGATCCACAACTTCATCCAGGGTCTGGGGTTGCTACTTTCCCGCCATCTCACCCCGGATGTAGGTTGCCAGTCCCTCCAAGAAGACGGCTCAAAGGGCAGAGTCATCCCACCGCAGCTTGGCGGAGATGGTGCGGAACTCCGACGCATATGCGCACACAGAGCGCTCCTTCTGGCGGAGTTTTAGGAGTCGTGTCTCTGCCCCCATTTCGCTGCTGGGTGGAACAAAAGTCTTTCTGAGGGCGGCCACGAATGCAGCGTAGTCATTGCACTCCGGTGATTTGGAGTTGTAGTGTGCAGCGGCCCACTCTGCCGTGCATCTGGAGAGCAGGGAGGTGAGCTGTGCCACCCGAGAGCGCGCATTGGGGAAGCGTCCTGGGTGGCACTCTAACTGCATGTCGAGGGTAGCAAGCAGACCGTGTGGACTCCCCGTCTCTCCATTCCACTTCTCCGGGAGACTGAAGTGTGGCTCTCCCGTCGGTGGAGTGAGGGCTTGCAACTTGAGCGCATGAACCTGCTGCTGGAGTGCCGTGACGGCAGTAGACATCTGCAGGGAGAGATCGTCTGGGAGTTCAGCCTGTTGTTAAGCTGGTCGACCAGGGCGTGGAGCTGAATGTTCTCGCTAACAACCTGCTCCAACTTCCTCTTCATCTGCTCGAACTCCGCTGGATTGATGGACTCAGTCATCCTGTCAGACTCGAAGACTGGTTTCAGGAGTACGAGCTTTATTAGAGACTGCTGGCTGCAAGCGGTGCTGGAAAGGCTGACGGAAGGATGAGGTCTGAGTTAGACAGGTGGAGGTTGAGCTGTATTAGCTTCTGAATACTCTGATCATGGAACACGGTGGAACGATGACTGAGTGAAGAGCCGGTGTGGCGTCTTCCATATATAGACATAGATGACGCAGGTGCAACGTGGAGGGAATCCCCACGAGGGGCATGCTGGGTAATGTGGTCCGAGACAGAAGCCGGTCAGCTGGGAGAGCCCGGCCTGGGGGCTTGGACTCTGACAAACCATCACTAACCTGGGGGTGGTTTTGGACCCAGAGATGCAGATGGACTCCCACATTAGCCAGGTGGTCAGATCCTGCTTTTTCCAGCTTCGCCAGCTACCAAAGATGAAGTCCATCCTGAAAGACGTGTCATATTTTCTCCCCAAGCCTGACCTGACCACAGATATACTGCAGCTCGGTGAGTTCGTAGATAGTGCTTGATGTTAGAAGTCTGTATGCCATCAGATACACTTGCTCTTTTTTGGGGGGGTGAGGCTTATATTGCAGTGCGCTCGAGTCAGTAATTTCCGGTAAGTATTTTAAAGCCATATACTTAATTAGTTCTTTGTATGAAGTTTTCCTCTAGGTGATCCAGAGAGGCTTGACCTTTGGGTGAGCAACCAAAGAAGAGAGTGCTGGACTCCCAATTCATTCTCCCGCTTGTGCAGTGAACACTTTGAGAGTCATCACTTCACCACGGACTCCAGGGTACAAACACATTACTTCATATTTTGGTTGAGATTTAAAAAATTGAAGCATTAGCTGTATAATATACCGACGTTACATTGCTGTGTAACTAGAAGAAAATCTTCCCCACCCTTGAATTGTCTGTGACTAGGGCTGTTTAGATGGGAAACAATCATGTTATTAATTTCCATCTAATTCTATGGTTAATTACTCAGAGAAACAATTAAATTTTTGGACAGTCTTTAATGTGTAACTTTATGTATTGGTATGAATGACAAATATTCATGTTAAACTAAAACGTTAGGCATTTAGGGGGAAAAACAAAATAATAAACATTATACGGATGTCAAATAAATCAAACTGTAATTTAACTATATATTTTCAAAGTCTCGATTCTGGATAAAATCCAGCATGAAGCTGGATGAGAAGCATGAATCAGGCTTAAGATCAACCCTCCTATATTCATGAAACCAAAGAAGTCCAATTGCCTTCTTTAAAAATCCATTTGATGTCATACTGAACAACTGTTGTATTTGATTCTAATTTGAATGATTCTGTTTCAGGTGGAAATGCTGTGTGATTCCTGTGTCCTGTGGCCCATGACTTGTGTCAGCCCGGTTCTGGATGTGGCCTTGCTGAGTTCTCTGTAGCAAGGTTTTCTGGCGCTTGGGGCCGTTCCAGAGTGCACCTGGTCCTTGGCGGTCTCACACTTCACATCCCAGCACACGCACGAACACATGCTTGTTGATGTTTGTTGTTCATGATGTTTGTGGTTCATGCTTTACATGTTTATAGTTGTTCATCCCACGTTTTCTTGATGACTCTTAGAAATGTTTCTTCACAGGTGCAGCTGCTGGTTGCTTTTTTTATTTTGGTTTCCTAGTTGTATTAATTTTTCTCTTATTTACTTGTTTATCCTCTATCAGCAGTGTTTATTCCAGATTGGTTCAGCATTTACATGCTGATGTGGCGATACATAACCCAAACCAATATTACTCAAGGGGAACCTCGTACACATTAAGGCTCCTCTTAATAGAGCAAATCTGTTCAGCACATTCTGACAGACAGACCACCATTCTTCTGTCATGTTGCTGTACATGACATTTTTAGTTTTTCTATTTAAAAATAAGAAGTGTTTCATTTAAAGAGCAATACTTTCACGTTATCACTTTCCCACACTTTCTTTTTACCTGTATTTTGTTGTTTTTCAATAAAGAATGACAAATTATTTAAGTTTGGTTTTTGTTGCACACAAATATCTACAAAGCTAATGTTTACATAACAAGTATGATTGGGTTTTGCAATACGGCACTCTGTTTATTTTAGTAAGATTTTTTAACCAAGTAAAGTTAGTAAAGAACAGATTTCTATTGGCTGCTAAGAAACTGTTGGGATTTAAAATGGGCCTGTTGCACAAATAACTTGTAAATGATTATTCCTCACTTTGTAGTCTTAACCAAAGAAATTCCAGTGACTGAGCAAAAACATTTATTTTTTTACACTACATTTTATAAAACAACAGGGCACAAAGTGTCGACACATTAAAAAAAACGTAAAATATTAAAAGGTTGTCTCCGAGGGTCTCTGCAGCTCTCTGGGCACCACGCCTCACGTAGCTGTCTCCGATGATCCAAATGGCTATGGAGAAAAAATAACAGGTTTGTCATAATTGTTTAACGTACAAAACCATACATGAAGTGGTCAAGACAGGTATTTGGAACTTACACTTGCTGCGTTGTGTAGCTGATGTTGGAGACACACAGGCTGCCATGGTGACCTTTTAACAGATCTAAGAAAAAAATGTAATAAAAGAATGAAACTTAAAAACTCCCAGATCTCATGTCATATTTACTAATCAGCTATGGCTGATTTATTGTTTGGATCACAGTGAGTTACACTAATTCTAATATATTTTTATTTCTATTACACATACATACTTTTTAACTGTTATTTTCACGACTGTTATCAGGCTCTCTTGTTCTGGTTCTCATGATAAATCCCCACCTAACCCTACCCAAGAATGACTTCCCCTGTCCCGCTGGGAGGGTTTCAAACACCGCCAGCATCTGTTTGAGGCTGTGGCGGGGTGCTGAGGGCCGGCTCCAGCCCAGGAATGAGCTCTCCTCGCCGGCCGGGAGGGTTTGAAACACCGCCATCCTCTCCTCTGCTGGCTGGAGACCATGGCGTGCTGTTGTTCTTTCTGTTATGGTTACCGGTGCTTGTCTTGCAATGTGAAACGCTTGGTCTCAGATTTTGTAAGAAAAATAATAAAATGTCCACCCAAAATACGACTTAAATATATTTTCTCTTCTTCATTATACATTTAATGGCTGGTGCGACTCGAGCGATAGCCCGGAGAATACGGTACTGAAAACTTGCTCAAAGCAAAATGTTTTCATTACGGAAATAAATTATAAACTTACCGATTTAATACTTTTTTAATCCAGGTACTTTTCACGAACAGGCGCCGAAAACCTCCACCTAAACTTCGTGTTAGGTTCAGGTCCATGGGTGTTCCACAGTTAGCTCCGGTAGGGTTGAAGCTAGGTGGCTACATCCGTTAGCTCGGCTCCCACCTCCACGTTAGCTTTGGGTTATCCAGGGTTAGCTCGTAGCTAGTTCGCCCGGGTGTCGTCACTCGATCCCAGCCTTACAGCCCCACCCTCAGCTCCTCCTCTCTTCCCTTTTATGGAATTGTCTGGGCTGGACGGAACCTGTGACACGGTCAAAATTGCCGGTGGTGGCCACCTCCCATTATAGACAAAAAAACGTGTTATTGAAGCCTATGGAATCGTTTTGTCCAGTATGTACAGTCTATGGACGTAACCCAACATGAAGTGGAAAACGAAGTGATGCAGTATTTAAAAACAACATATGAGTGTTTAACAGTTTATTAGTTCTTTGCGATAGTCTTAATTTTATTTTTTACAAGGTGTAGCGTTATGAATATCATAATTGTCTGCCCTTAACAGCTGCCCCTTTACATAGTAACAATGTGTAGGAATCGCCAAGGTCGGGTGCTGGTTTCAGAATGTTTACATTCCAGAAGAAGAAGAAGAAGAACAGAAGAAGAACACTTTTAATTAATCAAAGTACTTTATTTGTGATAAAGCTAGTCAAAACATATGTTGATCAATAATAATCAGGTGAATGATCTGTGAAATAAAGATGTCATGTGTAGTGAACCTGAATAGGCTCTTTTAATTCTGTAGAGTAATGGTTTATGCTCTTTTATGAAAGAGGAACCATCCTACATATTTTATAGTTTTAAGAAGACTCAAAGGTTGTTTTCATCGATAAACTGTCGATAATATCCGTGGGTCTGTGTTTTAGTTCAATGAAGAGACAAGTTTGAAAGTTAAAAGATTTAATTCTTCAAATTAAACTAATGATTTTGAAATGACAAGCAGAGGAAACAACAATCAACATTGGCAACTTTGTTGAACAATCTTTAACAGTTGATATTGTAAACTTGCTCAAATAGACCTTGTTTTGGATGTGCTGAAGATTGAGAGTGATGTGATGTGATTATGGATGTGTGTGTGCAAAATGTAGTGAAAATTGAGAATACGGTGAGATGAATGCGTGTGTGCATCTGATTTTGCTTTAGGAAGAAACAGGTGTCTGAGTGAAAAGTGATGGTTTGAATAAACTTAGGTTTTGTTGGAAAAGATGCATCAAACGCTATTTCTCGTGGACTGCCTCACCCTACGAGGACCCTCGTTCAGATCCGGAACGTCAACGGACGATGTTTCATCCAGGTCACCTCGGCTTGGCAGAGAAGACGAAGGTGTCCACCGATCCGGTGCAGAAATGCCCCCGGTACACGTTGATGATAAAGCGTTTGCAGATGTGCTTTCTTAAGTTTAATTACTCAGAAAATCAAAAGACTCGGGACGAGTCTGCGTTAGCGGTTGTAATTCAGCTGTCCTGTCTGGCTCGGCAGGAACAGCGTGAAAGGGGGGGACAGGAGCCGCAGGCTCCCTTCCCCGGGTGCGTGTTCAACACGTCCGAACTCTCTCGTTGACAAACTCGAACTGAATCATAAGACTGAAACTTACCAAAAGCCTTTCTCTTCTCAAAGCAAAACTTGTGCGTCAGAGCAAATGTGTTTTGGAGTTTACTGTGAGAGAGTGTGTGTGTGAAGGTCATTATAACATCTTCAAACATTATTTAATTAAGTATGGATTCATTATAGTTATGATTAACCAAAGCATAATAATCATTCATTTGATTAAAACACATTTATAATGAGTAAAATAGTAAAATGATTATTTAGCATTAATAAACAAAGGAAGCGTAAGACTCTATTATGACTAGCTTTTCCATGGGAACACATCTTCTGGCACTGCAGGTGTTCAGATGTTATGGTTTCTCCCAGACTCGCTGGCGGTCAGGTCTTAATCTGTGGGTGAAAGTTCTCAGTGACCCAGCTCTTGACCCAGCCAGGCAAAGTATAACCTTTGCACAGAAAACCCATATTTCCTCACGTTAAAGATGAGTTATGTGTTTAATGAATAAACAGGACTGCACCAGACAGACTGATCTACATTAACATGGAAACGCATTACACATTGTTCTCAGCCAATCAGAACTTTCGTCTGTCGTAGGGCAGAATCTGGGTTGTTTAATGAAGTTGTCCAATCCGGTTTACTAATATTTATAAACAACTAGGGGATATAAAACAAGTGTAGCGTTATGAATATTATAATTGTCTGCCCTTAACAGCTGCCCCTTCACACAGTAACATCGCCAAGGTCGGACACTTGGTTCAGTATGTTTACATTCCAGGAGAAGAGACAGAAGAAGAGAAGAAGAACGCTTTCCTTTAATTAAAGTACTTTATTCGCAATAAAGCTAATCAGAGCATATGTTGATCATTAATAATCAGGTGAATGATCTGTGAAATAAAGATGTCATGAGTTATGTGTTTAATGAATAAACAGGACTGCACCAGACAGACTGATCTACATTACCATGGAAACGCATGTCACATTGTTTTCAACCAATCAAAACTTTCGTCTGTCATAGAGAGAACCTGGGTTGTTTACTTAATTTGTCCAATCTGGTTTACTAAGATTTATAAACAACTGGGAGATATAAAATAAGGCAACGCCATTTTATGTTCAGTTCCATGTTAACCTCAGTTCCGTTCACTTGGAGGTCCTAAGGATTTCCATCGTCATCATTAAGAAAGTTACAGGCTGGCCAGCTGTACTTTCTACTTTAAGCTGAGAACTGTCAAGCTGGAGATTTCCGTCGTTTGAACCAACAAGACGACGCTCCTTCAAAATAAGAGTGAACTTGCTGACGCCTGCCGACTGCTACCGGAGCCGACCCACAGACGGGCTTTGTAGTGCTGCGACCGCTGTTTCACCAGCTCCGGTACATCCGAGGTCCGAGGACCTGGCATTTCCTGATCTACACGGGAGACTCCATAGGTACGTGGTCACGGCACAAAATGGCGGCTCATGTCATCAGCTTCTGAAGCCTCGTGGTAGCCTAGTCATAACAACCAGATTCGCTACGTCAGCCTAGAGATTCTGAACAACACACACACACCAACACGAAACATCCAAATCCATATGCATCCATCATTGAGATAGTCCTGGTAGATTGTAAGAATTTATAATTATAGAAATTAAAGATTCTTAAACGATCCAAACTCTGTCTTTTCTTGTCTCTCAGTCAATACAGCGTGTTTAAGTAAACTCCCTGATGATAAAAGCAACCACTTCTGATTATAATACTTAGATCTAATTACAGTGTATAAATATACAACTTCAGATCATTACACTTGGCGAGCTTAGCCTGATATCTGCACAGTTTATTACACTTTGTGCCGATTTTGAGACATATTTGGGATTTTTGTTCAGTGTGAGTTCGGAGGAAAAAGGGGAAAAAGCGAGCATTTCCTCCTTCAGCTAGTGAGACAGCTTTTGTCTTGAAGGGGGGTTGCACATTCATCACCCTCCACAGGAGGCGCTGTTTCATCAAAACACCTTAAAGCTGACGTGGCTAGCGGCCATTTTGTGGCCTACATATGAAGGTATATTTTTCCTGTCTTGGTACGTTGAAAACTGTCTGTTTTATTGTTTGTCGCTGTGTTTGTGACACTGTGTGAACATTTTTGTTAAATCGGAGATATTAATCCCCGTCGGAAATTACAGGTGCTGGCCAGTAAATTAGAATATCATCAAAAGGTTGAAAATATTTCAGTAATTCCAT